AACAGGGAGTAGAACACTGGGAAGGGACTGTTCAATGGCAGGGTCCACCTTGTGGAGAAAATTATTCATTGTGTGCAAAGGATTCAAAGTCGCTAAAACGCATCTGTCGACCTTTGGGAAGTGGCTACGAATGCTCCTGCTCCACTCCACTTACGCACATGTCCTTTGTGCGTCATCTGACTGCTTCACTACACGGAATAGATTTACTAAATAATGAAACTGCTCAACAGGAAATTTCCGCAAAAGCTGAGGAAATGGCATGTGATGAAGTCGCGGTAAGCTACAGATGCTGCAGAGAATGAGCACTTGATCTCTTAAAAGTTGCATGAATATAAATTTTTCGAACACAAAGCTTGGAATAATCACCCACTTTAGTTTTCTTCGAAAATAATCACTATTGAGTGAGGGAGAAGTCTCATCTGCTAAAACCGATTTAGAAAATTTTTTATCTAGACACGGATCGGAATGGCCTCCAACGACCTCCAGCACGATGTTCCAAGTAAAGGCAGCGAAATCGCGGTGCCATTTAATCAAGCTCGGCGGGAAGAGGTAGACGGCGTTCAAAGTCGAGTCGATCAATCGAATGGAAATGTGGTTCTTGATCGTAATTCAGTTCTCTTGAGTGGGAGGACCGTCATTAATTATCGCGGTTTCATAGAAAAGGAGTGAGTCACTACTCAAATTATTTTGCTTTAGTGTCATTTAAGTAAAAAATCCGTTGATTTTTGTCGGTACCTACTCCTCCGGTACAAGACTCGGCTTTAAAAAGAATTTTTCTTGTAATTAACGTCATGAGTTGCTTTCAACGTTTGCATCTATAAAGTACCCTACAGTGATGCTGTTGAAAAATTCACACTGCTAAATTTTCCAGTTGTCATGTCCAAAAAGATGAGTACATAATTTTGTCTCATGTTCATCGTCAATAGCCTGTAACAATGCTTTATTAAAAATGAAACCCGAATTGACTTTGGTCATTTTTCACTACACTGATAAAATAATTTAAACTCACTAAGGATGGATGTATTCTACCATCAAAGTACAGAATTTCTTCTGCATTATTTATCTTTTATCAAACTAAATTTTTGAACAGTAAAGCTACTGACAAGTTAACAAATAATAAAAAACTTGAATATTTGTTTTTAAGGTGATTATTACCCACATAATTTATAGGTGCGTGGCCGGATAATTTGAGTTTCACATTTTCTATGCTCTATGTCTTATGTTGCGCTGCTTCATATGAACACATTTTCTTAGAAATATTTTAGACAACATACGCATTCAGTTAAAAACGGGGACACCGGATGGCTTGATAATGATGATTCCAGAAAGAAGTCACCACTTTGAAGAGTTCATCGCTATCTCATTAAGTAATGGACGGCCTGAAGCCTATCTTTCTCTCAAAAGTTCTGATCACTCGTCACTACTCAAACGAGATAGTACCTACCCTGATGGAAGAAGAGTAACAACTTTGAAAGCGGCACCTTTCGTGGCTGATGGTGAATGGCACACGATTCAGTTAATAAGGTAAATTAGGAAATCATTTACAAAAAAGTATTAATCGAGTTTAACACTTACACTTCTAGTCCTATTTTAAAGGAATAAAGGCTATATGTCTTTAATTGTGGATGACCAGATGGTCTCTGGTGAATTAACGGATACGGATGGAATACTAAACAATGAGGGCGACATCTGGTTAGGTAAGTTACAAAGAGGATTAGGGTTCCATTTTCCACTGCACCTTATGTTTAGCAAAACTTCATTTCTACTATTAGCTAATGCTGAACGTCCCATTTTAAAGGTCACAAATAAAATGGCATGGTTATACTTGTGGAATCCACCTTTCAAATTATGCTTATCGTAGGTGTGTTTAGAGCTGGGTATAATTCAATTTTTCTTCCATGTGTAAAACTTTAGGCAAGCATAATTTCCCTGATTAATTATTAATGCATCTAACAGTTCCAATTTTTTGCTAAAATTTCATTTAGGTAGGCAAAAAAGTAATTATATTCCTCTTTACCTAAAATTTGAAGATGCTTTTACGATATTTTTGTTTAAATTTTTGTTAAACATTTAATCACTTGTATTTTACTTTGGATATTTAGAGGAAAAAAACTGTTTATGTCTTTAAGTATACAAACTGAATCGAAGCTTTTTATCATAAATTTGATCACTATTTGGGAACAATCGATGCTCAGCTTGTTTTCCCTTCTAACAATACCGCTATTGAAACCTTCAAAGTAGCCTAAATTTTTATCCATAGGTGGTTCTTTGGAGCAAGTTACAACATTACCCTGGCAGTACCAGCGAAACTTCACCGGCTGCATCTCAGCGCTCTTCTTTAATGAGGTTTCCATCGGTTTGTTGGGTGACGCTGACCTCCTCTACGGCATCGTATCTGCATGCTCATGATTCGCAATCACTACGCACTTTTATTAGCGAAGCTTTAGAAAACTATGGAGGTGTTGATATCCCTTTGCTCTGTACACTCTTAAGCACTGGTACGACTTATCAAAATGCACATAAATCTTTTACCAAATTCTAGGCACTGTTCTGAAATGTTAACTTCAGAAATATTAACCCTGCCATACGAATGGCATTGCTCGATTATTGCTGCAAAAAATTGTGTTATTTAAATATTTCGTAAGGACAAATACAGTTTTAATTGGACTTGTGTGTTATTCATCTGACTTGTACTGGGACTTAAAGTTGCAGAAATAAGAAATTATTAAATGGAAGTTATTTCAGTGATCTGGAGTGGCCGGTTTATAGCCCAGTACATTTAAGAACAAACACATACACCAAAAATCTCGTTTTAATGTCTACAATTTAAGCTATTCTAACAGTTAATGTGAATGGACAAAACTTCAAGAATTATAATTTGTGGAGTTAATTTATTTTAATGAATATATGAGTCTTTTAAGTCTTATGAGTCTTTTCATTGAAACAAAATCCTATCGGAAAACAGTTTGTTTAAAGGTAGGTGAATTCACAAAAACGGTACTTGATAGTTTAAAACGGGAAGAATCATTGCTAGCGCACTCTTAAGTGAAATATTAGTGGCTTTAGAGTCTGAAATTATTACCGAAACAAAGTACATCCACCCATAAATGCATTTGCCAACGTTTGATTTCAGTTACTCAAATCCGAAGTTCCTGTGCTATTTCACTGAGTTTGGAGTGACCTTCCAAAATTCTCATTATGAATTCAGCAAATTAGGCTTAAAATTTTTGAGCGCTAGCTTGTAAGAAAAAAATCTTGTAACACGAAGCTGGTTTTCGCTTTATTTCTCCTTCAAGAATGTTACTGATCAAAAAGCAAAACATTATGCAGTTATTTCAAATGGAAAATATTGTGGTGAAGAGCTTTTGCATTAATTATTTTACTCATAGCTAGCCTTGATACCAAGTTGTACACGGTGTCACCTTGTCACTCAGCGAAAAAATACGAATGCTTAAATTTTCTCGTCTCCAAAAGACAGCGAATGGATGAATCATTCCTGTGGAAGAATGTGTGCGTGGAAGATAAAAAAAGGACATTTTTCACAACACTACTCAAATGATGACAAAGCACTTCCCTCCAATTAACTTCTTTCCTCCTATTGACAGCTGAACCTCTATCTTCTTTCTCTTATTTGGCCTGGGTCTAACCGGTCCTCCAATGTCCAGCACAATATTTCGAAAGTTTTATTATGGTCATGGGCCAAAGGTATGCACATTGGAGCTACATCCACTTTTTGAGATTACTTTTTGAATGATTAGATTAAAGTAAATTTCATGGAGTATTTGTTTTTAAATATTATTTCATGTTTGTTTTAAATATCCCTCAAATCATACCTTTTTAAGAATAAAAAGGGATTGATATTGCAAACCATTTGTCGTTAAATTTGATTTATTTGGGCTTTACATGTGTTAGAAGCCTATGCGCAAAAATTTACCTATTATAGACAATA